AAGCAGGATGCGACTCCAGCACCGAGCCCCTGAGCCCCTTGTTTTCCTGCCCCTTGATGCAGCCGGCCGTTCTGGACGTGCCTGTTGCGTGCACAGGTGATTACGTTTCTTGGGGTTATCGCCATGGGTTCGAATTCACTTGCCTGACAGAGGTTCGAGGTCACCCAGCCATCAGTGTTGTCTTGATGGCCCTCTTGTTTGTGTGCAGTCGGCCCACTGGGACTGTTCAGGCCTCACCTGCATCTGCTTCGGTCTTCCACACCTGTGACTGACTGTCACGAGTCCCTTCTGCAGATGGGGAAACCGAGTCACCTGGCAGGTCCTGCTGATGGCCTGGTCACGACAAGGCCAGACGAGCCCCAGCTTCTCCTGGCTTCAAAACCTCCCATCTGCCCTGCACCGCACTTCCTCCTGGGTGGGCCGATGATTGTCATTGTCATCAGCTTCCTCTTCAGCAGTTAAGATCAACAAGGTATTGCTTCCTTTTTGTAAACCAGGTGAGCTCAGTTTTCACAGTAATCTGAGATTAATCCTTTTTTTTATGGTGGTAAAATATACACAACCTGACATAAACTTGCCCTCCCGAGGTGTGTGTGCTTGCGTTGTCGTGCGACTGTTTGCAGCAGGATTTCTGGAGAACCAGAATCCTCATGCCCGTTAGGCTGGCTCCTGCTCCCCTCCCCAGCCCCTGCAGCCTCCCTTCTGTGTTGCTGTGCATTTGTCCCCTCTGGGAACCTTGTGCGGATGGAATTGGACAGCGTGTGTCTTTTCCTGTCTGGTTTATTTCACTTACTGCACCGGAGTTCAAGGTTCCTTGGGTTGTAATGAGGTTAATCCTTTTGAAATGTGAATAATAGAGCCGGAGATTTAGCTCAGTGGTTCCGCCACCTGCCCTGCAAGCTCCAGGACCCTAGTTCGATCCCTGGTACAAAAAAAAAAAAAAAGTGTGAATGATCAATCACCCCCTAATTTGTTTTTTTGACTGTGACTTCCATTTAGCAGGGTGCGCCTCTGGGAAGGATTGGTAGTAACAGCAGCTCCTCGTGAAGGACGCGATTCTCGGGGTCGAGGCCCAGCAGAGCAGCCGAGCAGGGCCGAGTTGGGTTCTGAAACAAGGTGGGGCTGGGGAACCACCAGTGCCTGTAGAGACACCGGAGGGGCCTCTCTCCGAAACCTGCCAGAATGCAGCTTTAAAAGCCAGGCCCGGGGCATCCTTGCCGGGAGTCACCTCAGGCACAGCTGTTTGGGGTGCCTGTCCATCTCTGGCAGCCTTCATTGCTGAAGCTTCATTTGCAGGGCAAAGGGCAGGATGGATATCTTTGAGGGCTTGTTCACATGGAAACCAATTCTGAGATGATTATTTTTGTTAGCCTGCATAAATTCAGTATTTCCCAAATTTCAGTTTTTCCCTCACTCTTTATGGTTGGGCTTTGCTTTTTCTTATCCCCTCTGCTACTTGACATAATACGTTTGTTTCGTTCAAGTCACTTGCTAAAGCAATATTGATTGGAGAAAGCAGCCCTAAATAATGACCTCAAATTGAAAATCAGTGTCCCTTGCATGAATAGAAGATATGCTCAAAATAAATATAATGCAAGCCCAGCAGCATCGCTCAGTTCCGGTGAGATCCTGGTTGCCAGTGTGGGCCGGGAGCCCAGGCCTGAGCTCACGGTCAGTGAGGAGCTGCCGAGGAAGCGAGACCTGCTCCAGACTCAGTTCTGAGTGCTGAGAGAGAATCCAGGAAGGAACGTATTTTTCATTTTGTGATTTAAAGTTATTTAATTCTGTGATTATTTGTCCCTAAATCTTCTCTATTCCTTTGCTGCTGAGAGTCCCAGGTATTGGAATAAAGTCTGTTGTTCGAGGATCATGGAGTACATCACCTACCTTGATGTAAAAATGTGAGGCAAATACTGAGCCAGCGACTGCTGGAGCATCTTAACGAGCCTCGTGTTGCTCAGGCTTCACCACAGCACAATCGGGTCCGTGCTTTTCTGACCCACATTTGATTGAGGAAACTGAGGCTCTGAGTGGCTTCGTGGCCAGTGACCATCTGTCCTCTCACTGGTAGTTGACAGATGCTCCGGTGGCATTGGATCTTTGCACTGATCCACCTCCGAGTGGCCGAGGGCTTGAGAACTCTGCGGTGATGAATACTGCGTTTCCGTTCCAGAGCGGTTCTGGGTTTCTTTTCATTTTGTGTCAGCAGCAGGGACAGCCTTACAGAGAGGCTGATAAGCATCAGTCTGGAGGCCCAGAGCAGCCAGAACATAAACACTGGTCACAGACTGGCTGTGCCTGCAGCGAGCCAGGTGCCAGGCTGGGCTGGGGGTGCTCCGGTGCCAGTGTGTGCGTGTGTGCGCCCACTGCGTGCACCCTTCCACGTCCCTGTCACAGACACGCCCTGTCTGAGGTCTGTGCAGCAGCAGCCAGAAGCAGGTTGGAGCCTGCGGGTGCCCTGGGATCCCCTTCTGGGGTGGCCGGGGGTCAGTGTTCGAGGCTTAGGCTGGTGATTCCCCTGGGCAGCGCAGCATGGCAGGTCCAGTCTAGAGAGACACAGGTGTTAACGTCACTGCCTAACAGTTACTGCTCCTTCCATGAGTCGCCTCATCTCCTTAGCCTCAGGTTCTTCCTCTACTAAGTGGAACTTCTAAAAAAATTGGTGTCAGATATCCATCACACAATGAAATTGACCGTGTGCAAGCGTTTTCAGATGTGCACTTCAGTAGCATGGGGTACACATTCCCATTGGTGCATAAATGCAGCTTTGATAGAATTAAGTTGGAGAATGCAGGCAATTGGAACTTATTCAGTAAGCAGTAATGAAGTGAATGACTGTTATTTTATTATGTAGTAATTATCTGGCGCTTTTCAGGATGTGATGCCTGTTCTGTTGACAGGGTGGCCAGGGGGCAGGTGGTGAGTGGCAGAGGATACACAGATGGGGGAATGTGAGTCCTGCCTGCTGCCCAGGGACCCAGAGCCTGTAGGGAAGGCAGATATGTGTGTGCACACGGATGTGTACAAGACTGCACATGTGCACTTGTGCCTTCTGTACGGACACACGTATGTGTGAAGATGCTGAGATGAAGGAAGATGAATGAAACACTTCAAGAAAGCAAGAGAAGGGCTGGAAGAGGCGCAGGTGCAGCGGCAGGATGGTAGGTGGACAGACCTTGCGGATTGTGAAGCTCACTTACATTCATGGGCTTCTTTCTTAGTTCTTTTTTCATTATCCTCACAGTAATCTTGTGAGCCAGAGCTGAGTAGGGATCATGGATTCCCATTTTCTAGTGAGTAAACTGAGGTTCAGAGTTGCTGAGCCACCCTATGGCAGAGTGTGGGTAAATGCCATAACTCAGAGCTCTCTGTGTGCATCTTCTCCCTGGTCACACGCAGGAAAAGAATGGCTCTGCTCAGCGTGGGGGGGGGGTGTCCTTTCATGGGTAGCATCATCTTCCACGGTGATACATGGGCCACTGTGAATGCACTACGATTTGGGGTGACCGCAGAGGGATGACTTTTAAATGCATAGTTCTGTAGTGACTCCTTATCTGAGGCTCCACTCTACAGTTTTAGTTACCTGCAGTTAAGCGCAGTCCAAAAGAATTGAGTGGAAAATTCCAGAAAGAAAGTGCTCATCTGTTTTAAACTGTCCACCTTTCTGCATAGAGTGATGAAGCCTCGTAACCCCTGTTTCGACCCACTGGGGAACTCTTTGTGCAGTGTATCCACACTGTATATGCTGCCAGCTCATCAGTCACTCAGAGACCATCTCATCAGTTTCCGTGTGAAAGGGCTGGTGTTCAAATGGCCCTTATTTTACTTAGCCATGGCCTCAAAGTAAAAGAATTGTGATATTGGCAATTAATTTTGTTACAGTATGTTGTTCTGATTGTTTTATTTTATTATTAGAGATTATTGTTAATCTCATACTGTGTCTAATTTATAAATTAAACTTTAATAAGAGGTATTATGCATAGGAAAAAACCCCACAGAATGATGGGGTTCATACGATCCCAGGTCTTAGGCACCCACTGGGCCAGGTAAGGGGGCTCTGCTGGGGACTTTGTGGGCATGATTCCTTTTTAAACGTTTTATTTTATTAGTATATGTTTGTAGCACAGCAATGAGATTTGTTGTGGGGAGTTGGTATGCGGCACACCTTCATTCTTTGTGGTCCCCCCACTGCCCTGCTCTCTCCGTCTGTTGGTCCCCTTCCCTTTCGGAAAACATCCCTCTCCCTGTTTCCTATTTTCTGTCTTTTATTTTGCTTTTTCATTTATGTATATTTTGAGTTTCTCAAATGAGAGAAATCATATGAGATTTAAGCTTGTGTGTCTGATTTATTTTGCTTAACATTATGGTCTCAAGTTGCATCCACTTTCTTACACATGCCTCGAATTTGTCCTTGTTTATGGCAGAATAGTACTTTATTGTATATAAATTTCATATTTCCTTTATCCGTTCATCTGTTCATGGGCATATACGCTGCTTCCAAGATTGAGCAATTGTGAATTGTGCTGCTATAAACATGGCTGTGCATGGATCACCATAGTATGATGTCTTTAAGTCTTTGGAAAAACACTAGAAAGGAAATAGCTGGGTTGAATGGAATCTCTAGTTTTAGTTTTTTGAGGAATCTCCATACTGATTTCCATAGTGATTGTACTAGTGTGCATTCCCACCAATAGTGGAGAAGGCTCCCTTTCTCCCAGCCTTGCCAGCCTTTGTTAGTCTTTGTTTCCTCATGATGGCCACTCTGTGGAAGTAATTTCTCAGGGTGAGCCTCAGGTGAAGTGTAAACAGAATTTTAAGCTGAGCATGCAGTCTACAGGTCTGGTAAAGGATGCTGTGGGTGGTGGGGGAAACACTGGTCCTGTTGTGTTGAGCGGTCATGGAGAGAAGTTGGTGACCTAGGTGCCCTCCCTCTGTGTGGTATGAGCGGCTCCATCGAAGACTCTAACAGTTCAGTGCTTGGGTCTTGCTTCTCTTTGTAGATTGCTGACTTTGGGCTCTCCAACCTGTACCAGAAGGACAAGTTCCTGCAGACATTTTGTGGGAGTCCGCTCTATGCATCCCCTGAAATTGTCAACGGGAGGCCTTACCGAGGGCCAGAGGTGAGCAAGCTGCCTGGGGTGTCAGGGAGGGGAGCTGGGGATGAAGAAGGGAGGTCAAGAACCAGACCTTGGAAATCCTTAAAACCCCCAAAGAAGCAAGGAAACTTGTCCTCATGTGATTATAAAAGCAATAATATACACGCCTGAAGGACGTTTGGAAAATTAGAAAACCCTAGGGAGAAATGAAGTGACCTGCAGTCCCACCAAGAGACAAGCACTGAATATCTTTATGACTTTTAGACTTTTCCAGTGTACATGTCTGCACTTCAAGCATAATTGAGAGTGCAAAAGTAATTGGAATCACCTAAAAGGGACTGAGATCATGTTAACAAAAGGCAAGATATCTGTATTTCAACACACATACATGTGTATATTTTGCCTTGTTACCCTAAAATTGTGATATCTCCCAAATTCATTATTAGTAAAACATGATTTGCAATGACAATATAATGTCTTACTGTATGAGTATATTGTAATATATTTAATGAGGCTTCTAGATTTGGACTGCATTCAGGTTTTCCCCATTATAAGAACACAAAACTCAGGGGAAAGTCACTGACTCTTCAGCTGTTATAGATAAGGCTTTTTGGTCTTTGAGGGTTAGTGTGTGAGGTTACAGGTTCACATTCTGTGACCTGGCCAGTGAACATGCTTTACTTGGCCACATTTGTCTTTGTAAAAAAATTGAACAAACATGTAATAATTGGTAGATTTCACAGAAAAGTCTGATTTCTGGTTTAAAACCCAAAAGCCCTTGCAGTGTTGGACCCACATTTCAGTGTGGCCCCAGTTAGCCGGGGTAGTTGTCTGCCCAAGGTTGGGGGAAGGCACTCTACAGTTTGTCTCTTAGCCCAGCACTCCACATTCTGTCTCAGTTCTTTCTTGTGTGGTTCATGCTTGTTGTCTGCCTGATTCTTGTAATAATTGAGTTTGCAGCCCCTGATCCATTTGAACAAGATACAGGAAGGACTGAGTTCCTGGATTAGGAAGGAAGGGCCTCCCATGCCAGTCTCATTTTTGCCCACTGGGGGACCTCTGGAGAAGCCATTTACCCGCCTTGTGCTTCAGTATTCCTCTCAGTCAAATGGAGCTGGAAATCATCCAGGCTCTGTTGTTTCACAGAGTGAGGAGAGAAACCCAAAGTACAAATGCTTTAAAGAGCAAAATAAAAGAGAGATGGTAGGTGTCTTAGTTACTTTTCTTGTTGCTGGGACAGAATACCTGACATCCACAAGTTAAAGGATGAAATATTTGTTTTAGCTCACAGTCTGTAGAGGTTTCACTCCATAGTTGGCTGGCTCCAGGGCAGGGGAGCATGACAGAGAGTCGTGGCAGAGGAGAAACAGTCCATGGCAGAGCAGGAAGGAGGCTGCAAGCAGTGAGCCTTCCTTCTCTTTTTATTCCATCTAGGCTATAAGCCTTTTGGGTGGTGCCACCCATACCCAGGGTGGGCCTTCTCATTACCCACACCCAGAACTATGCTAAACCAATCAGTGGATTAATTTAGTACCACACACCCTCACTCCCAGTGTCACACACCATAGATCCAGCCACATGAATGCATGATACAAGCCATAACAGTAGGAAATGGGGAGGTAGACTCTGTGGAGATGGGAAGGGGCCCTGGGAAAGAGGGAGGACAGTGGGAAGGGGCAGCAGAAGGGGGAATAAAAATGATCAGGATGCCACACGTATATCTACTAAGTCACCAGGGTGTTTACAGTTACTGTGTATCACCAATATATAGTACTAATAAAAACCCCTGACATCCTGAAATGAAAACAAAAGAAAGAAGAAAAATGGTTTTAGCTAATTGAGCTTCCTGTGTGTTACATATTCAACACATGCAAATAGAGTTAATCAGAAGAAAGAAGTAGACAAGTAAAGTAAGTTTTCAAAATGCAGTAGAACAAAATATATGTGGAAACAAGTAATGACTTGAAAATCTTAAAAGTTTAAAGTTTGGCAATAGAATTATATTCCAGGAAAAACGGAGCTGAATATGTTGTTACTTTTATCAAACCATCATTTTTTTGGTACCAGGGATCGAACTTGGAACCTTGTGCTTGCGAGGCAGACAGCGGAACCACTGAGCTAAATCCTCAGCCCTAAAACCATCAGTTTTTAAAAGTGAAGATAAAGTGTATATTCTTATAGAAAATATTTAAGGGTGGGTGTATAGATGTGTAATGAAATGTACTGTGTAAGAAAGAGGAGGAAGATGGCCTGCGTCAGACAGTCTGCGAATGGCCCGGGGCTGCTGCAGGCCCCGGGGCACTGCTGGCGTTGTCATCTGCAGTGGCCGCTGTCTGCCAGGTGCTAGACGCAGCTCCTGGGGCGCGGTGGGCGGCTGTTCACGTGCCATGAATGTGCTGACGCCTCCTGAAAACCGGCTCTCAGCTCCTCTGTATCCTGTCCTGCTGTTCCAGGTGGACAGCTGGGCACTGGGCGTGCTGCTCTACACTCTTGTTTACGGAACGATGCCCTTTGACGGGTTTGACCACAAGAACCTCATCCGGCAGATCAGCAGCGGAGAGTACCGGGAGCCCACGCAGCCCTCAGGTGGGTGCCCTGCGGCGTGGTGAGGAGGTGGCCAGTCACCCGCCCTGGCTCACGTGCTCCACTTTGTATGCCAGGCAGCACATGGGTTATTGCAGTAGATGGCAAATCTTAGTTAACAGATGGTTGAAGTAACAGACACATTGTCTGGAATCCTCCAAATCCTCCCCCTCGCTTGAGACCCACTCACCCAACATTCTCGCCACCTTCTGGATAGTTCCTGAGTCCTCTTTCCAGAGTGTCTTATGAGGTGTGATAAAAAATACGACAGATGCTGCTGCCGAGTGTGACGGAAAGGCGAAACATGACGGTGCCCTCCTCCACTGTGTTCCCCGGATCTGGCACTGTGTGATTGCTGGCTCTTTCCCAAGGTCAGAATGAGCACAAAAGGGAAATGTTTGAACCAATTCAGGACATCGAGGCAGCCAGGACAGCTCCTTTGGAAGTGGCTGAGGGGAAGCGGCAGCTTCCCAGGGTAGAGCTCAGCCCAACGGGGGAACCTGGGTCTCGGTTTGATCCCAAGAGTCAGTGTCTCAGCTGTGAATCACTTGGTCCCTGGGGCCTCTGCAGCACCCTCTGTGCCTCTCCTCTAATTTCCTGGCCACTGAAATTTGCAAGGGGGAATCTCAGCAGCTGCGAGGGCCGAGTAGCAGATACAGATCAGTGCCTGGATGTGGCTTAGGGCATCTGGGGAAGGAAGAGAGCTCATTGGGCCTGGCTGCAGAACCCAGCTGGGGCTGAGACCTCAGGAGCTGTCCCTTCCTGGGGATGCTGGATGAGTGCCACACCTGGCACAGGTGAGCTCCTGTCCACCTCTGCCTGCCGCCCGTGCCCAGGGGCACAGGGAGTATGGGGATCAACACCCGCTTCTCCTCTTGGTAAATGATATCCACAAAGGAATCGCCGGGCAGCCCGGTCAGTGGGCTGTGGATGCTTCCTGGTAACCTGACCTTGTGCACCTCCATGGAACTGGGCGGATCCATGGAGTCCTTCCGTGGCCTTCTGGTCGTGGCTGTGCTTTCCGGTCCTACTCGGCACACTTGGGGCTCCTGCTCCAGTCCCCAGGGGAACAGAGCGGTCTCCGTGCAGTGCTTGATTCTTCCTGTCTCTCGCCCCCCAGACGCCCGAGGGCTCATTCGGTGGATGCTGATGGTGAACCCCGATCGCAGAGCCACCATCGAGGACATCGCCAACCACTGGTGGGTGAACTGGGGCTACAAGAGCAGTGTGTGCGACTGCGACGCCCTGCGTGGCTCCGAGTCCCCGCTCTTGGTGCGGATCATCGACTGGCACCACCGGTCCTCAGGGCTGCAGGCAGAAGCAGAGACCAAGGCGAGGGACGAGGTCACGCTGGAGCAGCAGCGCTTGCTGAAGAAGTCCAAGAAGGAGAGCGGCTTGGGCCAGGCCGGCCCGGACTCGGTGGCTGAGGGCGCGTCCAGGCTGAGCTCCAAGCGGCCCAAGGGCATCCTGAAGAAGCGCAGCAACAGCGAGCACCGGTCCCACAGTGCCGGCTTCATCGAGGGCATCGTGGGGCCTGCCTTGCCCACCGCTTTCAAGATGGAGCAGGACTTGTGCCGGACCGCCGGGCCCCTGGCTGGCTCCCCCGAGGCTGAGGCGGGAGGACACTCGGGAACACTCGGCCCCAAGCAGTCGGCCACCATGCCCAAGAAAGGCATTCTGAAAAAGACTCCGCAGAGAGAATCGGGCTACTACTCCTCCCCGGAGCGCAGCGAGTCCTCGGAGCTGCTGGATGGGGACGACGGCACAGGCAGCGGCCCGCCTCCCCCGAGCCCCCCAGCCCCAGCCCGGGTGGCCTCCCACAGCCTGTCCTGCCACAGGAAAGGCATCTTGAAGCACAGCAGCAAGTACTCAGCGGCCGGCAGCCCCGAAACGCCCACACTGGAATCCCCGTTGGAGCCCGGCGTCCCCGCCGAGGGCCTGTCCCGGAGCTGCAGTCGGCCCTCCAGTGTGGTCAGCGATGACAGCGTCCTGTCCAGCGACTCCTTTGACCTGCTGGACCTGCAGGAGAACCGGCCCGCCTGCCAGCGCATCCGCAGCTGCGTCTCAGCCGAGAACTTCCTCCAGATCCAGGACTTCGAGGGGTTGCACAACCGGCCGCGGCCCCAGTACCTGAAGCGGTACCGGAATCGGCTGGCGGACAGCAGCTTCTCGCTCCTCGCGGACATGGACGACGTGACTCAGGTGTACAAGAAGGCCCTGGAGATCTGCAGCAAGCTCAACTAGCCCTGAGGGGCGCAGGGACGGGCGGACGGGTGGGGAGGGTGCGAGAGTCGCGCTCAGGCTGTCACCACGGGGCTGGCTGGCTTGGCTGAGTGTGGGGCGGGAGCCAGCACCGAGCAGGGGAACAGGCTCTTGCCAGTCAGACTTGGGTCAGACACCCGGTAGAGGTTGGCAAGGTGGTGTTGGCAGCACTTGGTGGGGAAGGGACTGGGGCGAGGGGTGTTTCCCCGGCTTTGCATGAGCCCCGAGGGCTCGCCCCTCCTCCCTCCTCCTTGGCAACCTTGGTCTGGCTGCACGGAGCTTGGAAGGTGATTTCAGCAACCTGAGCTTGAATTGGCACTCGATTGCTCCTGGCTCCTGGAGTGCTAGTTGGAGCCCAGGCCCATCAGAGTGCTGTTATCGAGTAGCAATGGCGGCCATGGGATCGGAAGGGGGGGTAGCACTCCTGCCGTGTCCTTGTCATCTCTGACCTGTCTCAGCCCTGGGCATCAGCTGAAGCGGCCCATGGGGTCTGTGTTAACTCCTTCTGCCACTAGGGTGGCATGTGAGTGGGAGACACAGCCTTGGTGGGAGAAATTGTGCTCTGAACTCCGCCAGGGACACCAGTCAGCCCAGGGTGGGCTTTGGCTCCTCGCTGTCTTCCACCTCCTCCTCCCTGACATCGGCCCTGCTCTTCAGCACTGCCTCCGAGGGTGGAGAGGGGACGTGATGACAGTGAAAGCTGTTGCAGGAGAGGCGCACACGCCCCTGTGTGGTGCCTGCACAGCGGAGAGGATGTCGGCCTGTGCCAGCAAGGCTGCACTTTCCACAGTGCTGCAGCCTTAACTGGAGGCTGCCCCGGGGTCCACCCCTGCACCTGCTCGGACTTGGGGTGTGGCACTGTGCATGGTCTGCAGAGGCCAGTGGCCTCAACCTTGGCCCAGCTCACTGCGATGGAGCGGCTTCCCCGCCGGGCGTGGGCTCGAAGAGCTGTAGGAATCTGCTGAAGGGAGTTAGCGCACAGGTGGGTGAGGAGCATCAGAGAGAAGGTGCCCTGGCCCAAAGCCAGGGATTCTAGAGCAGGGCTTGTGGGGGAGGGGAAGCTCCATCTGTTTCCACAAGCAGGGTGTCAGAAGAGCAGGAGTGAACTGGGGAAGCTGGGGGGAGAGGAGCATTTCCTTAGAAGTTGGCCATGTGTTCTGGGGAGGCAGGAAGGAAGTGAAGCGGGGCTCTGAGTATTGAAACCAGGTATGCAGTGTCTGAACACCGCCTTAGAGACGTCATCGCGTCCGGGAGGATCTGGCCCCTCTGGGATGACTCCACATTCTACTGGCTTGAGCAAGTCCAAAGCCTTGTGTTGAGGGGCCCAGCTTCTGACAGGAGGACTGGCCTTGGGAAACCTTTGGAAAAGCCAGCCTTCTCCGGCACTCAGGACGTGTGTCAGGGTGCAGTCACCCCTGCCGTTGGGAGATGCGCCTGTCCCCTCGCTGCCGGCTCCGGTGCTCCTGCTTCTGATTCCTCAGCTTGAGCCAAGCACTGTTTTATGGGAAGCTGCTCAGTTTCCTGCATTCAGTTCCACCTCCTTCCTTAACTCAAGAGGGTCTAACGGGGAGCAAAATCTGTAGAGATCAGATTGCGCTGGGGCCCTGGGGGCTCTGCAGGCTGCTCTGGGCCTCAGCCTGGGGGAGCCCCTGCTCCTGGCCTGGCTGTCCCGGCTCCTTGAGCAGCCTGCACCGCCACACTTCGGGCCGTCCGCGGCTGTCCAGTGACCCGGGGGTCACCCCTCCAGGCTGGTGGGTTTCCCTTGTTGCCGAGTGACTGTGTCTGCTCGGTCTGTCCCACCCTCCTAATCTGCAGTGTCCGGATTGACCTTTAAGGAAAGCTACTCCCTCCTCCCTCGGCCCAGACACCAGATGGCCTCCTTTGTCACGCAACTCCACAGATCGGATCGGATGGTGGTGAAGACAGATTTGGAGAGGAGCCCTGGTCTGCCCTTAGGGCGCCTGTGGGCCCAGGTACCTGCGTTTTTCGGGGGGCTGTTTTCCTGTCGCTGGTCTCGGGCCCTGCTCAGTGCTGACCTTCTGCTGATGTTGCTTTGCTTTAAGATGTGATGTTGATGGTGCTTTCCAGGAAAAACTGGGAACGGAGGGAAAAGCCCTTCCCAGCAGCCTCTCTGCTCCTTCCTAAGCCCTGTCTCCCCTGCCAGGCAATCCCCAGCCAAAGAGATTATGCTTGAATCATTTCCGTGGAATTACAAGTGAGAGACTGTGGATGGAGCAGGAGAGTCCTCGTCAGCTCTCCGGGCCCTTGCCTGGCCTCTGGGGGCCTTTCAGCGTCTTAGTTTACACATCTGCCAAAGGGGTAGAATTAACTGCTTTTGCAGGTAAATGTCAAGGCACGATCAGTTTTCAGGAAGTGCTTTGAGACCCCAGGCGACATGAACATGCTAAGTACCCTCTGAATTTCCATCCCTGTGACCAGGGGCTGCCTCCTCTGAAGACCCCGGTGGCAAGGGGCACCGTGCAGGGTGGAATTCAGGCGAGCTCTGCCCAGGCCTGCTGTCTTGAGTACAAATGTGAATGGCTGACTGCTTGTTGCCAAACTGGAAATGTTCTGTAGGGATTTACTGGCATGGGATCATTCCTAGGGGGACAAGAGAAAGAGAAACTTGACTGCACATTTTTTTTTTAAATCCGTGTTGTGACTTTTATTTAATTTCTATTTTTTTGGTAATAAAAAGTTGACTTTTTAATTTGAATCTGTCTTTTTTATTTATTGGTCTGAAAGGCATTTCAAAGGTATTATAATAATATATTGGTGTAATTTAATTGGTGCAACATGCTTTATGGCTCCCATCAAAATTCGTTTGCACTCATTTGATTGGCTTGAGAACAGCCTACAGGGAAGCAAAGCTGGACAACCACCCAAAGTGTTTGTATTTTCATTGGAAAATGATTTTTCATTTCTTTTTTTGTTTCTATTTTTATTTTTAAGTTAAATAAATTGCAATGAACTGAACTGAACTGGGGCCTTGCTTCTTCATTTTTGGTTGCTTTTCTTATGTAAGTGAGGGAATGAATGGTGTGAGGGGCAGAAACCGACCAGGCCGGCTGGAGCCCGAAGCTTCTGAGTTCCCGGAAAAGGACGCTGCTCAGGTACACAGGACACCGGCCCGGAGCACCCAGGTCACAGAGGGCCCCAGGCTCACTTTCCTGCTTCCCTTTGTCTTTGGTTGTCACAGGACACGCAGCCACCCTTGTACCAGGCAGCAGAGCGCCGTGGTCTGCACGAAAGAGTAGCCTGGGGTCACAGTGTTGCATTCTTCCTGTTTCTCCTCCCTGACTGGGGCCCACCCTCACCTGCCCCAGCGTCCAAACTCATGTGCGCTCAGTAAGTTCCAGACTGGCGACCAGGTTCCTCCAGTCAGGGCTGGAGATGCCACCCGTGGCCCATGCTGGGCCCTGCTCTTTCTCCCCCTGCTGCCCCCTCCCTGCCACAAGCTTCTTTCCCAAGGGCAGACAGGTTGCCAGTCTGGTTGGTCAGGCTCAAGACCATTGGCCGCCATGTCCTAGCGGGGAAGCTGCTGCTCTGCCTTCTTGAATCCCATTTTGCCTCCGTTCCTTGTATGAAGAGAGGCCCCGGAAAGCTCTTGGATCAAGGGGGAGTAATAGGGTAAAACTGAGGAGTGCCTGGGTCCTGGCCACAGTGCCAGGAGGTATCAAATCCTGCTCTGGTAGCTGTCGTACATTAGAGTTAAACCCCACAGCTAAGAGTACCGTATGGGGTCCGTGGAAGAAGAGGCTGAATTTGCTAAGAATGGACAATTCATACCCTTTCTGAACTACTGAAAGAACCTCAGACGTAGCATTGTCACTTTTAGCAAATAAAACCGCAGAACGCCCAGTTAATTTTGAACTCTGCAACAAACAATGAATTTTTTTTTTGTTCCGTGCACTATTTGGGTCATGTTTATGCTTTAAAAACCCCCAAATCTCTTTGTGAAACTCAGATTTAGGCGTCCTGTATTTCACCTGGGCAGCTCATCTGTTGGGCCTTACCTGGCTGAATGGAACAGGAGTTGGGTAGCGTGAAGGCTGGGGAACGGACGCGTACCCTCTGTGGAACATGTCGGTGCGTCTCAGGCTGGGATGCGCAGAATGAATTCCAGTTCCAGTCTGGACTTGGGGATGGTTATGGAGTCAAATGACTCAGCCCCTCAGGGCTCAGTTTCCTGAGTTGTGTGACAGCTTTTCTCACTGCTGTCTCAGCATCTCTCAGGGCTGTGAGGAAGGAATGAGAATTTCTCCCAATTCACCTTGAGTGCAAACCTCTGTGTGAGTGGGAAACAGTGGCCCTTTACAGGGTGGTACTCTTGGGCTTTTGAATTCAGACATTTGGAGGCACTGCGTTTGGCCTGAGGGCTCTAGATTCATCCTGCAGTCCCTGTGTCGTCAATAAGTGGGTGGCCACTAGGGCTGTCAGACCTCTGCAGAGCAAGGGGCCAAGTAGAAGTTCACTTAGCAATGAGGCCTTTGGAAGATGGCACTCTGCTTGCAGATGGAGGGGATAAATAGCATTGTGTGGCTGAGGCTGGAGCAGCTGTGATGTATAAAGGCCAGAGGGGAGGTGGGGTGGCTGTGGTGGTGGACGCTGACACGTCAGCTGGTGGTGGTGGTGTTCATGGGCAGTGGTCACTTTCAGGAGGAAGACAGGACTAATGCTAACTGGACCTCTACACCATGCTCACTGCATCTTTCCGTGGCGGCAAGTGGCAGCAGCTCACTCAGACTATGTTATATAACAGGATGAGTTTAGTGCTTCACAAACTGAGAAGTCCAAGGAGTTTGTCTCAGGCACAGCTGGGTGCAGAGGCTCGGGGCTTAGGATGTGGAAGCACTGGCCTCTGCCTTAGGCAGGATTCTCCATGTGGCGGCAAGATAGTTCTGGGCAGTGGCAGGGTTATGAGGTCCTGCTAATATGTTGTCCTGGAATCTGGGGGTTCTTACTGTCCTAGCAGTTATGTAACAAGGCAGAACTTTGATTGGCTTTGCCTGGGTCACATGGCTCCACTGGTCCAGCTCAGATGGAGAGGTGCTCTGGCCCGTGTGGATCATGTGACCACCCTTGTGAGTCATGGAGTGAGGGCTCCTCGGTACCAGGCCTTGTGGAAGGCAGAGTAGAAAGGAGCCAATGTTAATCACTTCCTTTTAGGCTCCATTTCCTCATGTACAACATCACATCATTTCCAACTTCAGAGTTATTACGAAGATTGCATGAAATAAGCTACCTAACCCAGAGCTTGATACACAGCAGATTTTTAACTTATGCACATGATCTCAGTGAAGACAACAGTGGTAATTCTACAGAGAGGAGATGTACTTGTTAGGAAGATTCTACTATGAAGTCAGCTGTGATGTCAGAGTCCAGCTGGAATTTGTTTAAGCACTACAGGAACTTTATGAGCTCATATACCTGGAAATGTAAAGGTAGGATGGATTTCATGGATACTTAGTCCTGGTGGGAGAACTGGGCAATAAACAAGTAAATTAAACCTCTCCAAATCACGTACAATAAGTGCTGTGAAGGAAATAGGTGGGGTGCAAAGACAGAGAAGAGGGAGTACCTCCTGCAGAAAGAATAGCTAGAGGAGGTATCTGAGGAGGTGACCTTCGGTCATAGATCTGATGATAAGGAACTAGTCGTATAAAGAATGAGCATTCCAGGCAGAAGAACAGTACATGCAAAGGCCCTGGGGTCTTCAGTATTAGCAGGGTTAACTTCCGGTCTGTTGGGAGAGGACAGCCATGGTCCAGGGAGCAAGGTGTTTGTTAAACACGTGTGGCCACATTCTAACGTCGTCTGGCCAGGATTGTTTCTGACTTTGTGTCCTCTGATTACAAATGGTCAGCAGGTGGCCCGCAGACGAGGGACACGCTATGATGGGAGATGTTTCCGCTGCAGACTTCACTGACAATTTGTTGAAAGCTCTAGAAAGGATATTTTTAACCCACAGAATCATGCAATGCTTTGGGCACGGAATAGAGTAACAGTGATGTTGCATGAAGGTTTTCCTGTCACCAGACCTGTCCCGTACCAGCACAACTTTCTGATTCCAATGGGGCATTGGATGGGAAAGTGGCCGTTAATTTTGTTTTAATGATGAATTTATTTTCCTCTTGTTGGAAAATTTGTGCTGCCCATCTCTACCTGACTGAGAATGTCCACTGCTTCACAAGCAAGCTGGTTCACTGGTCCGTGCTGCGGGCTCCCTTCTGTTTGTGCATTGGGCTGAGGTAACAGATGGACCCCCTAAGTTGGCGCTTGAACATAAGAAACAGTCATGTCTGAGATTGCCAAGTGCAGTCAGGGTAGGGCTGTGCTGCCCCAGGGCGCCTCCTCCAGCTGCTCTGAGATCAGAGCTGCTGCTTCTGGGGCTCTGCCTGCTCGAGTTTCCATTTCTCACAGGGCACACGGGCCAGAACCTTTTTGGGCAAGGTGAGGCTCAGCTGCGGTCCTGGGCCCACATCCCACTGGCCGGAACTCCTTCTGACCCGACCCAACCCCCTGGACAGCCCTTGGGTCTACAGCACGTGCAGGGCAGAAAACAAGACAGTCAGAGGACACTCAGCTGCAGGTTACTTTTGCTTCCCATAAGGAGTGTCCTGCAAAAAGGAAATGGTTGTTAATATCCCTTATCTGCATCTAGCTGCTGTTGTTGTTGTGTTTGGAGATAGGGTCTGTGTAGCCCAGGCTGCCCTCAAACTCATGGCGATCCTCCTGCCTCAGCCTCTCTAGGGCTGGGATCAGACAGTTTTGGAAAAGTGCAGTAACCTGCCCAAGAGCCCCGGCTCAAGCTGGTCATTGCTGTGTTGCCATCTGCTGTGATCCCCTGCAGCTGGGCCCCCCGGGCCTCAGAAGCCCCATCCTGTCACCATCCCTGTCGTGGGGACAACTCTGTCCTGCAGGAGCTGAGCAGATGCCACGAGGCAGGAAGACACCAGCCCAGGTGTAGGCCTCCGGGATCCAACAGGGGGGCACAGCAGCCGCCCCCATGTCCTGTGGAGGTCAGGGTCAGCAGATCCTCTCCCACGGAGTGACTGGAGTCTCCCCAGCACTCTGGAGGGGCTGGTGTGGCAGAGCTCCTCTTTCCATCACAAGCCCTGCAGTCACTCAGCGCTCGGACCCTAGCGGGGACAGGGGAGGCCCAAGTGCCACGTGGAATCTGGTGCCAGGCTGGGCACTGCGACAGCAGCTTCCAGCATGCAGAGAGCAGGGCAGCACCATCTCCAAGCATGCACCTGCCCCCTGCAGGGTGGTGACCAAGTTGGGCATCCAGAGGGATGCCTCACTGTCGGGGAGAACAGGAGGGGCTTCATTTCCAAGGCCACTGGAGAAAAGGGGCTCTGAAAAGTGAGCCCGAGGAAGGTCTGTGAGTCTGAATCTGCACTCACTAAGGCCTAGCCTCTGGCTGAGAGGCGCTGGAGCCCGGACAGAGGCCCAGGTGCAGAGCCGAGGGGCATATGCAGCCCGGAGCCAGTCCTGCTGTCTGCTCCCAAGGTCTGGAGGTGGGTCCAGGGCGGATGGTCCCCGGGAGGGGCTTCTCACACACACAGGGGGACACGGTGGGCTGGGAAAGCTCCTGCTCTGCAGAGAAACAACCCGGAGCCTCTCGCGAAGCCAAGCGCTGTGGTTGTGCGCAGGGTTGGGGCCGAGCCGCCCGCTGTGTTGGAGTGTCTCCCGGGAAGAGGGTTCCACGGTGAGGGGCCAGACCAGCAGAGCCAAGTCCTCCCCTGGGGGCCAGCGCTTCCCTGTCCTCGATTCTCCGTGCTGGTGGATGTCCCTAGGACCCTGCTGCCGCACTAGGTGCCAACCCGTCACTGGCAACCAGAGCCTTAGACCTTGCTGCTTTCCTCCTCCCTCTCCCTCGCCTGCCAGGCCACTTCCGGCTGTCGTGACCCTCGGACTCTTGCTGTGCCTTTGTTTCTAGCCTCACACCTGTTGCTAGCGTGCGACCACCATCACGATGTCCTTTCATGGACCCTTAGATCAGCCTGGACCGTCTACCCCTGCCAGACTACCCTATTGGCCCTAATGCCTAAGGGATGGTTGCAAATCAGCTTCTCCACCTCAGGAAGCCTGGGAACATGGCCAACACGGATGCAGCGGTGCTCAAGCTGTGTCCTTGGGGTCACCTTGAAGGATAACTACCTGCAACAAGGAGGAGGAGGAGCTGGAACCCAAGCTGGTGCATCTGGGAAGCTGGCTCCAGGGCCACCCTGACCTGTTCATTTCATCTGTGTATCGTGCATCTGGAAAAGTCTTCATCTGAAGAGTAACAGTCATGGCTGCAAGAGTTTCGGAAAAGTACCAGGCCATCTAGCCATTGTCGGTGTGGTGCCGGGCAGCGCTCGCCAGCTGGGTCTCTGGGTCCGAGAGGGTCTGGGGCAGGAGGGGGCACTGATGTGCAGGGTTTGCTACTTTTGTGCTGCAGATTCTTCCCCCACTGCATAGCAAGAGATGAACCTGACACCAGCCAGCTCGGGCAGTTCCGGAACATGGACCCTGGATTTTGTGTGGTGAGCCTCGCCAGCACCCTTGGGCTTCCCGGGCACCACAGGAAGGGAAGTGGATATTGCCCTGGACATATTCCAGCTCATTTTCACAGCGCGGCTGCTGTTGCTTTCAGGGTCAGTTGGAGATGCTCTGCCCCATCCAGTAGGAAATGCTTTGTGCCCTGCTTCACGAGTCACTCAGCATCCTTGCAGCTTGCAGGGAACTCAGCAGCAAAGGAGCAGGGACAGTCCTTGCTCCCATGGCGATGCAGTCTACTGGGTGGGGGGAGAGAGCCAATGGCGTTGCGGGCCCCATCGGATGGTGAGGAGGAAAGGGAAGCTAAGAGGGACGGACGGGAAATGTCTTTGGAGGGATCATCTTTTATTCTGGCTTTTACCGTACGCTCTCTCTTTTTCTTCCTGCAGGCTTTGTCTGGTTTAGTTGTTGGAGTAACGCTGACCTTGAAATGCACCGAGAAGTGCTCCCTTCCTGTTGTCTGACTGGTGTTGTTTCTTCATTAAATATTTGATGTAGTTCATCAGTGAAGCTGTTTGAATTTGAGATTTCCTTCATGTGGAAAGGGTTTAAAGCATGAGTTTAATCTCTTTACTTAATGTAAGACTGTTTAGGTTCTGTTTCTTCTTGAGTTACTTTTGATGATTTATGTCTTTAAGAAATTAGGATGTCCAGATTTTTGGCATGACAGTTTTTCCTGATATTTCATTGTTTCCCTTTGTAATTCTTGTGGGATTTCTAGTCATGATCCCTCTTTTTCTCTCAATAGTTTTTCTTCTTTATCATTTTCCTGTCCTCCTTTTCTCCCTCTCTCTTCCCTTCCATCTGATTTTTAGAATTTTATCAATACTATTTTTTTTCCTTAAAGGCTAAGGTTTTGGATTCATCAGGTTTTAAGAAATTATTTGTTCTTTTTTGAGGATATCTGTTCTTGATTACTTTCTTCCTTCCACTTACTTTGGGTTTAATTTTGCTTTTGTTCCCTAGATTTTTAAGAGCATAAGTCATTAATTTTCTTTTCTTCTTTCTTCTTTTCAAATATAAACACTGACAGCTGTATGCCTTTGTTTAATAATTGCTGAAGCTGCATCCCACAGATTTTGATATGTTCATTTTTATTTTCATCTGGTTAAAATATTTTTTTGGTTTCTTTGTTGATTTGTTCTTTTTTTCTATGGGTTACTTAAGAATTGTGTGGTTTAATTTCAAACCATTTTTGTTTTTGTTTTTTTTTCCAGGTATCTTTCCATTACTGATTTTGAAGTTAATTCTACTATAGTAAGATAACCCATGCTGTATAATTTCAGCCTAACTTCAATGAAACTAGTTTTATGCCCTGTAGTGAGTGTCCCATAGCAGGAAGCATACTCAGTTGGCACTGTGTTGTGTTATCAAATGTCAATTAAGTCAAAACGGTTGGTAGTGTTGTTCAGATCTTCTGTCTACTCACTGGATTTTGGTCTGTGTCTTCTATCGATACAAAGCAAACCTTTTTGGAGCATCTGTTATTGATAGAGTTATCTGTTTCTCTTATGTTCTGCTGGTTCTTTCATATATTCTGAAGCTCAGTTCCGAGGTGCATACAGTTATGCCAGCTGAGGCTCCTTGCTGAACTGACAGCTCTGTCATGACACGGTGCCCCTGTCACCTAGTAATAGTGCTTTCAGAGAAGTTTGCTGATAATATGGCCATGCTGGTAGTGATGTCATTAGCGTGTGCGTGGTTATAGCCTCTCTGTTCTTACGTATGTCTGATCTGTGTCTTAATATCGAAGGCGGGCTTCTGATCGAGAGGGCTTCTAATAGTTGGGTATTGTTTTTAAACCAATCCGCACATCTCTGCCTTGTAACTGGGGCATGAGACCACTTAAAGTTACTATTGTTCTTATTGAATTTGAATCTGTCATCTTGCTTCTTGTTTTCACTTTGTACCATTTGTTTTTCTGCTCCCATTTTTCTCTCTTCCTTTGAATTACTTGAATATTTTTTCAGTATTCCACGTCATCTGGTCTCTTCTGGGGTTGCTACTCTTCGCTGCTCTGCAGGAGAGCAGTGGTGGTGAACCTTCGGCAGGTGTGCCGAGCCGAGCATTGATAACTGCTCCCATGGCAGTGTTGGCACCTTGTGATAAGTGAGTGGGCTTGGCTGCAGCCTGAGCACGTGGTCTCTAAAAGTTTCGCCACCCCAGCTCTAGAGTTTACAATATCCACCTACATTTCGCCGCCTGCTGCACAAGTGCAAAGACCCGAGTTTGATCCCCGGTACCAAAGAAAAAAAAGGAGAGGTTATAATGGGCCAGGGATTTAGCTCAGTGGTTCCAGCGCCTGCCTTGCAAGAACAAGGTCTCGAGTTCGATCCCCAGTACCAACAATAACCAAACAAACAAATGTTACAATATCTACCTTCAGGCGCAAGCCACCTTCGAGTAATATTACGCTGCTTTGTGTATGCTGTAAAAACGTTGCAATGATCCGCTTCCATTTCCTCTCCACAGCCTTTGCACTGTTGTTTCCATACATTTTGCTTTTACCTATGTTTTAAATCCCACAGTACATTATTACAATTTTAAGTTATTGCCTTTAAAATGATTTTAGATAAATACAGTTATCCTAAAAACAGAAGAAGGAAGTACCTCTTATATTTAGCCCTAATTTTATGTTTGCCGTGTGCTTACCCATTGTGTTCTCAGTTTACCTTAGTTCTATTTTTCTTCTACATGAGGAACTTCCGTTGACATTTCTCCTTGGGAAGTCAGCTGGAGACAACTTCTCTCCACTTTGGACTTCTAAAAAGGCTTTATTTCAACTTCACTTGTGAAAGATGTTTTTCCTGGCTATCAGAGTTCACGTGACAGTTTTTATCTCTTGTCCTCCAGAGACATCGTTCTGTCTTCTGGTTTCTGATGTGAAGTTGCGATCAGACCCCCTGTGTTCGCTGTTCATGTCTCTTGTGTGTGAGCTGGCCTTATTGTCTACTTAGCCCTTTTCTCTCTCGCAGTTTGATTGTGTCATTCTTTTTTTTTTGGTACCGGGGATCGAACTCAGGACCTTGTGCTTCTGAGGCAGGTGGCGGCACCGCTGAGTTAAATCCCCAGCCCTGGCGTTTGATTGTGAATTCCCTCAGTATCGCTGCCACTGTTTGTTCCACCTTGTCTTCATTGACCTTTTTGCATCTGTAAGTTTGTAGTTTTCATCAGAATTTGGATTTTTAAAATGGTCATGATGAATTCAAATATGTTTTCTTCTTCCTCTCTTCTCTCCTTCCCCACCATGTGGATTTCCAGGGACATCTGAGCTTTACCATTTGGTGTTGCTGCACAGCCCAGGAGCCTCTGTCTGCAGCTTTTGTGATTTGTTTTTAAAATTTCATTGATCTTTTCTTTAGTATTATTTAAAGTGTTTCTGGTTCCATCTAATGAAGTTACATTTGATATTCATTTTTGAACTGCATATATCTTTGTATTGATTGGTTTTCCTTCTTTTGCACCAACATTTCTTGCCCTATCTACTAATTTTTTAACTGAATGCTAGGCATTGTGCACTTTATATTGGTTCTTGTGTTTTGCTATTTCCCTTTAAAGAGTATTAGGCTGTGAAGATATGGAGGCCTGGGTGCCCGTCAGTTGGGGACCAGAGAAAATGTGCTCCGTAGAACAATGGAGTATTATTCAGCTATGAAGAAGAGAAAAGTTATAGCATCTGTAGGAAAATGGGTGGAACTAGACATCATCATGTTAAACAAAAAAGCCAGGCTCAGAAAGGCAGGTACTGAATATTTTCCCTAAAATGCAGAATCTAAAAAATAAATGAACAGGGCCGGGGATTTAGCTCAGTGGTTCCGGCGCCTGCCTTGCAAGTGCAAGGTCCCGAGTTCGATCCCTGGTATCAAAAAAAAAAAAAATAACAACCCCCCCCCAAAAACAACAACAAAACAAAACAAAAAAACCAACTGAAAAATAAATGAACAAAACAACCCAAAGTTGACATGAAAGTAGAAGAGAGACAAGACAGGAAGAAAACAAACGGGGGTAGAAGGGAGGTTAGCAGGGGGGACGGATATGCCCAGAATATGTTACATGCATGTATAAATCATACGTGAAGCCCAACATTTTGTAAAGTTAATATGCACATACCTGTTAAATATATGAGTAAAGGAGTGGGAGGCTTCGTACTGACGGGGAGTTACATTACACGCAATCCAGTTGCTTCTTCTGAGCCCCAGTCCTGGCATTTTAAGTGGCTGATGCGACTCCTCCCTCAGGTGTGGACGTAGTCCCACGCCGCATGCCCTGCGCGGTCAGCAGCACCTCCCCACCCTGCCTGGTGCCTGGGAGCCTGGGGGTCGCAGCTCTGTGTGGGCTCTGAGATGTTGGCCTGCAGCTTCCTGGTGGCTTTTTGTTTGTTTGCCTGTTTCTGTGGCTGCCTTCTTTGTCTGGCCTCATCAGGTACAGATTCATATTTACCCAGAGGCCCAGGATGCCCGCGAAGATTCCCAGAAGTCTTTCTTCACATGGCCCCTCTGCTTGTCCTCGGGTCTCCAGGTCCAGTGCCCTGGCCTCTCTGACCTCCAGAGGCTGCTCCTCGGTCCGGCTGTAGCAAGTGTGGGTTTACCTTATTCTCCCTTCTCCTAGGGATGCTGCCCTGGTGTTGCCTGATGTGGCAGGGTTGTTTCTGTCCTGTGGTGTAGTTGGTTGTTACAGTGGGCTGAGGGTTTTGTTTTCTTCGCTTTCTTTTTTTAACCAGCACACGTCCACAGTGCATGCGGTTTGCAGTCGTGCTGGGGAGTGGGCATCTGTACACAACGCAGTTTGAGTCTGTTTTTCAATGCCCTTTGCCCTCCTGCTCTCTTCCCCCTCCTCTAAGTCCCCTTTTCCCATTTTCATTCTTGTTGGTATTTTTCATCTTATCAGCTGATTAGATGAATAAAATGAGGCATCTATACGTAATGGAACACTACTCAGCTGCAAAGAAGGGCAAAATGGAGACATTTGTAGGAAAATATAATGTTGG